TAACTCACTCATAAATTTAATAAATATTTACTGAAAATCTATTGCCAGCTAATATATACTTGATAGTGTATGAACAGTGATGAATAAACAGACACGTCCCTGACTGACATTCAGTGATCAAACAATACAAATGTACAAATGACAGTACTTATGAAGGGAATAAATTTAATGCCATGAGAGAATACAGATGCCTCACTTTGTGACCAAGACCTGGGTGCAGGAGTGCCAGGCCATGAAACTGGTTTCAATCACAGCGCTACCAATAATTATGCAAGCTTGGGCAAGTTTATTTGATCTAATCTTTCAGAGTAGAATGGTAACCTAAACTGTAATTCTGAAGAGATACTTCTCTTTTATTGTCATCAGCCAATATATATTCGTAGCCAAATATCCAAAAATAGGACAGGGAAAGCATAAAAATTTTAACTAATTAAGATCTCCTTGTTCTGGCTTCCTAGTTCATTCACAAAGACTAGTCTACTTAACTTTAACTAATATAAAACATTTAATGAAATTAAAGGATTATTTTTACTCAGGTAATTCAAAAGGTACAGTTGACTCTTGAACAATGTTGGAGTTAGGGGTGCCAAGCTGGTGCAGTTGATAAACAAACAAATTGATAAATGACTTATCCAAGGGAAGGAGGCTGAAATGGTCTGGAAAGATTCACCACTCAAACCCTAGTTCTTTTGATTCCATATATTGTGATCTCTAATCAAACAAAAACTCTTCCCCACACTTAAAGAAAATGAAAATATCAGGTACTATGCTTTTTTTTTAAATCCACATAAAAGTGGATCTCTGTTGAACCTGTGTTGTTCAAAGGGTCAATAGTACCAAGATAAAAATTTGGGGGGAAGATGGCCAAGATGGCAGAGTAGGACTCAGCTCACGCTCTCTCGTGAATACATCAAAACTACATCTGAATAAGGAACCTCACAGAATACATACTGAACTTTGGCAGAATATCTTACAATCAGAAATACAAAGATAATCCTCACAAAACCAGGTAGAAAAAAAGGAAATTGGGGTGGGACCTGTCCCCTGGGGGAGGGAGCAGCAAAGGAGGAGAAGCATCCTCCCCTGGGAAGCCCCTTGTCCTGTGGGGAGGTCCACTGGGACAGAAAGGGAGCTGGAGCCTTGGAGGAGACCACAGCAGCCCCTTGGAGGCAGCTGAGAGCAACTTAGGGTCTCTGAGACCCAGAACCCAAGGCTGGAGCTGGCGGGGTCAGACTGGGACTGGGGGCTGGAGCTGGAGCTTCCACAGATGAACCCTGGAAGAGGACTGGACACAGGCCTCTGACTGGCCTTTGGTTTATTCTGCCCTCACCTAATAATGCAATGTTGGTGCTGAGCTCTTTCTCAATAAATATTTTTGATGAAGTCAAAAGCT